TGGCAGGCTATTTGCATGTGCACTATTATATGTGTTCTGCAGACACTGCAAAGAAAAAGGAGGTAATTTATGTAAGGAAAGTTACTGTACAAGATACATTCTGCTCCCAGAAAATATGTTGATTGTTCTATTATTCGCCACAAAAGGCCTGCGTGTCTTGCTCCCTCTGTCTTTGCCTCGCTTCTAGGGAATGATACAATGCATGTACAGGCTGAAAGAGAATCCCTCAAGTATTGTTAAAGGTGAAACAGGCAGCATTGTGAATTAGAATGGACAGCCATGAAGGACTGTGGCAACCAGTGCAAATACACACATCACCTGCCTTTATATACTTTACATGGAGACAAGGCTATTCCATTTGAACACATTTCATTAGAACTCAACTCGGTATGGGTGCTTTTCATTAAAATGCATGTGCTACCACCTGCTAATCCAATGACTGTGAACAAACCGCGTGCACCACACAAACGTGCGCATCACTGACTTGATTTTAAAAGTAAAGATGAGAAAATAATCCAGTCTTGACTGCGTTTTCACTGTATTTCAGGGATTTAGCATGAGCACATTTATTGCCTGGTTTTTAAAACTCCCTACCAATAAGACCATGGATCCCACAGGCACCAAGACTGAAAACGATGTTTTGTTTGTAGTCCCGTGTATCTTTGCAGTTGTTTTGCGTCTCTTTGTAGTTATAATGTCTGTTTGTAGTCTCATGGCATCACTCTAAAGTTGTTTTTATGTCTGTAATTATTATTACCTCTTTCGGCGGTTGTTTGTATCTCTGTATTCACTTTTGCCTCTGTGAGATTGTTTTGTGTCTTTTTGCACTTGCTTTTTGTAGTCACTTGACATCCCTCTGGAAGTGTTTTGTATGTCATTGTGCTTGTTTTACCTCTTTTTACAGCTCTGTATCTCATATGTATGTCTCTTTCTGGTCTGTGTACGTGTCTGTTGTCAGTTTGGCTCTATCTGTAATCATTTTGTAGTTTTCTGTAGTTGTTTTGTATCTCTGTGATTATTTTGCCTCTTTTTGTTGTTTGCATCTCTCTGTATTTGTTGCTGTCTTTTTGTTGTTGTTTCCATTCGTCTGAATTCCCTTTTGTTTTTCTGAGGTTGTTTGGTGTCTCTTTGTAGTTATTTAATATCTTCAGTAGTCACTTTGAATCTCTCTGTAGTTGTTTTGTGTCTCTTTGTAGTCATTTTCATCTCTGTGTAGCTGGTTTATGTCTCTTAGTCGGGATACAATATATCTTTTTCAGTGACATTTTCCAGGTAAAACTCAGAAGCTTCCTGAATCTTTGTGCCATTGGTCATGTACCTTGCAGGCCTGTTCAATAATCTGTCCATGCCTAATACAAATTCATGAGAGGTTTTTATCAATTCTGAAAACAGTTTAACAGCCTATTTACTGATGTCAAGATAGTGTGTTGCCAAGAAAAAAATAAACCATTCAAAATGAGTGGTCCAAGAACTGATCCTTGTGAAACTCCAAGATACAAATTTTGTAACGGTAAACCAAGAGTTTAACTCAAATTTGCTTCATCTGGGCTTTGTGAGTGTGGTTTTATCAGACTAACAGTCATCAAAAACCCAGTTATTTTAAGAAACATCAGTTTTTTTTTTACATCCACTGTTTAAACAAGTGTGAAGAAAAATACATTTACAGAAAATCTTGCTTGTGAAATAAGCAATGCTGCTTCAGCTTTGGCAGAACATTTTCATGTAGAAGCTGACAGATAAAATAGGTTTACAGGAATTTTAAATGAGAAGAAAACTGTTAAAGATTGGGGCCTGGTAGACAAACTAAACTTCATGTGGAATTTCATGGCTTAACTATGCTAAGGCAAGAAAATAAAAATAAAAAATAAAAAATTAGGCAAAACTGAGAAAGAAGTGGGAGAACTTAAAAATCAAGGGGGGAAACAAAACATTTATTTTGACCTCTTACACTTCCGAAGTAAAAAAAAGACATGAATAGAACTATGAAAAATTTACATTTTAGAAATATAAATATATTAGGACTTTTTAATTTGCGAGGTCATGTGCTGTAAAGCCTTTGAACAATGTCTAGACTGGCACATTGCAGGGACACTGCTGTCAGGGTTAAGTCTCATATGATTCATCTCAAGAGGGTGGACTCTGTTCATCATGGAGGTGAGCCTCATTACAGTCTCCAAACATTTCTTTTTGTTCAGGAAGCATCCCTTTGCTTCAGCAGACAGTTGATGAATTGTCAAGCTCTGGAGGTCTTCCCAAAGCAGCGAGGCTCTTTCATCCCAGCACTATCCCTCTCCTCTTTTCTTCTTGTGAGGATGGATGTTAACAGAACCTCTCTGTCTGTCTACTTGTATCCAAGACACATAGATTTAATGGCCTCAGATTCCCCAAACTGCTGTAGGACTCAAGCTTTGTTTTATGGGCCAGTGAAGATGTTTCCTGGTAGGGAGATAAAGCAGCCTTTTGTATTGCTCAGCCAAGACACGCTGCTTATTACCGCGCATAGAACAGAGGAGAAAATGTGAGCGCTGTTGTGTATTGAGCTTCTCAAGCAGAGGCACGTAGTACCACTGTTGAATAAAAAGTTTGGCTATATATATTATTACTTATGGTTATGAAACTGTTAATCCATCAGCAAGAGGAACTTTTATTTGGTTAGTCAACAGGCTAAATCTAAAGAAGCACAGTCTTTAATACATTCATCAATAAAAGGTAGTCTACATTGAAGTTACTGAGCTCAGCATATGATTTTCACAAAAATACAAGGCCAGTGAATTTGTACCCCAGTAGTACTTCTGCAACAGCCACAAAATCAATCATCACTCATCATTTTTGAGTGAAAACACTCAAACAGTCGCAATAGAAAACAGTTGAAGTAACTGAATGTTTTGAATACACAGTTAAAATAGCCAACTAAAGGTAACTGACACTTTGCTGCAATAGCTGATAAATGATTAACATATTGAACTAAAACTTCACTGTGAATGTTTTTCCAGAATCCTCATGGGATCTTCCAATCATCTGGATAAAAGTCCTGCCTGTCGGGTCCACAAGAAAAATGAAAGATTTCTCAATCGGTCTCTTGGGTAGTAAAACGTGTCTTGCTCTTCCTGGGCAACAAAAGTAGAAAATCAAGAGCAAATGTGAATTCTGAGAAATGGAGTTCATGTCCATATATCTTTAGTGTTGTTTTCTTTAACTTGATACAGGCAATAATAACTTTATGCATTTTTTCCTTCAATAAGCAGCTGAAACTGTTAGTTCTTTTCCTTCAGGACTAGTTGGAACTGTTTTTGTATTCAAATGCTTAGAAGACTGTTAGTACATATCAGAAATACATCCAGAATGAAGGTAACTGTTGTCTCCTGGTTTTCAAAAGGCAACCAAAAGTTTTTTTTTTTTTTTTTACTAGACTCATACTTGTAGTAAAAGGCAACATTTCTCAGTTGCTTTAGTTCTTAATGTTCATTATTTATTGCGCCTAATGTGAGTGTCCCAGCTTTAAGTTAAATGCTAGATCACAGTAATAAACCTTTAACAGCATATACCAGTTCTATTCTGTTGTTAAAAACTAAAGTTAATGCTTTAATAGATGTTTCCCCTTTTGGTGTTGTTAAGGTTGCTAATATCATATTTCTTGTGTCTGAGAGCATCAGCTTGTTCCAGCTCTTCATTGTATCCATGTGATGTTCACAAAGAGAGAAAGGCTTTTATGAACTGCCATGCTCTTATCCTTTGATTTACATTTTGCATTGCCTGTATTGGATTACAACCAAGAAACTTTTGTTGTTGTTGTTTTTTCCCCTCTTCCGAGAGAAAATACATAGTTTTATTCAACTTTCATAAACATGCAGCCTGAGATATTTGGAGTGTGAATTTCAAACTTTTCCTGTTTCTGGATGCACAGCATACAATCATCCTTAAATTTATTCATACCCTAACATTAAAGAAAGGGCCAAATTCACAATAGTCACTCAAATAACTAGAAACTGATAAAAAAAAAGTAATAATAAACCAAAATTTGCTAAATTAGAATGTAGTGAAATCATACATTGTTTTTTTTAATTGTGGTTGAAAAGAATAATTTAAAAAACAAACAAACAACCAAAACTGTCCCAGATAAATTGGAGCACTTTGCTGATGAGCAGTGGGCCAAAATCAAAATACCTGTCAACAGGTGCAGAAGTCTGACTGAGAGTTATAGAAAACATTTGATTGCAGTGATTGGCTCAAAGGATTGTTCAACAAAATATTAGCTCCCTGGTCTCATCATGCTTGTTTTCTTGTTGTTTTTTGTTTGTTTGTTTGCTTGTTTTTAATATTTGTGTTGAACCACAATTCAAAAGCAATGTCATGATTTTCATTTTTAATTATTTTTGTCAATTTCAACTTATTTCAGTGGCAGCTGTTGTTGTCCTTCTTCAATCGGAGGGTATGAATAAATTTGAAGACGACTGCAGGGTTGTATTTGTAGCTTCACCAACTGACCACCTTTAATTATTGGGTTAATCATTGATAAAGATATCAGTTAACTTATCGCCACAAACAAGGTTAGGGTTGAACTGCTAGTAGGCTACTGCAACAAACGTCTTAATCTGCATATATGTCTACATTAGAAATGTTCGTGTAAACGACTGCCAATGGGCGTCAGTTCTGGCCTCAAGTTGGCACAAAGCCCTTCTCCTGCCACAGTTGTTCTTGCTGTCAGTTTGTTCAATATTTTCTGTGAAATTCATTTATTTCATTGGCTCACGGGACTCCAGCGGCCCACCACTGCTCGCCTGCTATACGCTCCTTGCGCTGTCCGTCACCTCCAGTCTGTCACTTGTCTCTCGCGCTACAGCATCTTCACCGGTCAGGTTGCTCTGTTTTCATTGGTCGCGTTGCCCGTCTGTCAGACGCGCTCTGTCGTGGGATTGGGCGTCTCCCAGTGCCGTGTCCCTCTTGGCCGTACCTGTCTCACTGTGAGAGGCTGACGGCTCTTCCTGCTCCACGCGCTGCTCCCGCCCCTTCATCCAGCTCCAAGGAAGGAAGGAGGAACTGCTCGAGCCGCGTGTGTCACTTCCAGTGTGCTGCAAAACCGCACTGCTATGTGATTCCTGGGAAATATTTAGCTGCCTCTGCGGTCGGTGGGAAGTAAGGTTAGAAAGTTTGGAATCACAGCCGGTGTTTTGGGGGGCGCGGGGTGCGTAGGGAAGGTGGTGCAAGTGGTTTCGGAAGTGGAGCGTGGCAGAGAAAAGGAAGAAAGAGGGGGCTTTTCTTTCCTGTGTGATACCAGATAGCTCGCTTCGCTTGCTTGCCACGACGGGACTGACGTAGAATATGGCGGAGCATCACCCGGTTTCCGACAACAAACACAAATCCTCCCTGAACTCCGGAGCCTCGTACTCTGGGAACGGGCGCAGCAGCACGGCTGTGGCGGAGAGAGCGAGCAACGCCGGAGCGGGAGGAGGAGGTCTGTCCGGCGGCCTGTCGCAGCCGGCCGGGTGGCAGTCTCTGCTGTCGTTCACCATCCTGTTCCTGGCCTGGCTGGCCGGCTTCAGCTCCAGGCTCTTCGCTGTGATTCGCTTCGAGAGCATCATTCACGAGTTTGACCCCTGGTAAGTTTGTTTCGTCGCACACCCAGCCGCTGGAGGCTGCTCGTCAGGGCAGGGAGCTCCGGAGGTCCGCGGCTGTCAGGAAGTTTCTGTGAAAGCATAGCCAGTCAGCGGTTCACTGTCACGCGCCCACATTCAGAAAAACGACGTCCTTTCTTGGCGGCATCGAGGACTTAGATCGACTAACATTATAGAATCAAAGCCTAAATGTACTTAATGTGAATTGACTTGAGAGCCCAGTCCGTCCTATTGGACAGAGCTACTCTAAGTGCTTTTACCCACACAAGGCTTCCAAATATACGTCCTAAAGTAAAGTGGCCTGTAGTCAGAGCCATGTGTGTGCATTGTAGTTGATAATGAAGTGGACACTGGAGCTGAATGTGAAGGAGGACGGGGAGGAGGAGGGGCAGGTCCCACAGCAGAGTAAATGAGGACAATAGTGACAGCTTCATCTGACGCGGGTTGAACCCGGAACGAAGCAGCAGGCCGAAGTCCTTCTAACACAGATATCTCCTTTGTTTACCTACAAATCTCCTCTGCTCTCATGTATTTGTGTTTTTTTTTTGTTGCAGCGACCCGAGCACTGATTACAGGCTTTAATATCGTTCGTGTGCCTGCAATGTGCCACATGCACATTTAAATAGAAGCACATCCTCGGTCTCAGTTACACTTACTGTGAGCAAATGGTACCTCACCCTGCACATTATTCTGACAAAGTTTCGAATTGCATTTGCATACTATCCCCCTGGGATCTGTACTACAATTGGTGGTCCTTTTGAATTGAAATGTGCACCGTACTCTGTATAATGCTATTCAGGTTTCACATTTAGGTGGCTTTGAACATTTCATTTAGCCCATGCACTAGGAGCATTTCCATCTGACTTATCTCAAATGCTTTGGCAGGGTCATGGTGCATGCTGCTGGTTTTAATTCAGGTGTGAAAAAGGCTTCCTTACACTGTCCCAGACATTAGTGCAGCCAGGCAGACGCTAACAGTTGGACAGTGAGATTAACAGACTTTGCTGCAAGATAATGTGTGAGGAGGCCTGAACAAACATTTTGTACTTTTTCCTGTATTAACGTCCAATACAGATGGTTTTTAACAAAGCTTGCCCCAGACACAGTGAAGTACCTCAGGTTGGACAGGCAAGCGCTCTGCCTAACCATGCATTTCAAACTTTACCAGCGACCAACTTGACTGCCAGAAATTGTCCAAGGTTTTTATTTGTACTCCAAGGGACTGTTGCCTGGCCCAAGCCTGCATTGCATCACTGAAAGCATTTAATGATTATTCTGAGACCAGCGGTGTGGATTAAACTGCCAGCTTCATGTCTGTCTGCTGAATAAAAGAGGGGGCTTGAAAGCTTTGGCTGGGTGAGAATCCTTCAGTTTCTATGTGTCGCTGTCTTAAAGCCTAACATGGCATGACATAGAGTGAAATTTATTCATACACTGCTTCATTGTTCTATCAGTCTCCCTTTGCTATCAGACTGGCACCATTATGTAAACTAGATATTTGGATGGATGAGGAAACTTGTTAGATCGGGTGTGTGTGCGCGTGCATGTGTGTGTGTGTGTGTGTGTCTCCTGCAGGTTGTAGTCGGATGATAAAATATGTTTAAGGTCAGATAATATTGTTATAAATTTCACACCTAGCTAATGAAAAAAAATCACTCTTCCTTTTTTAAATTGAATGAGAGTGGAGCACATTTTTTTTTAGTGGTAATGATTACAATAATCAATTTTCAAAGTTATTACAATAACTTAGTTGTGCCTCACCTCGTGTTGAGAAGGGAAACCCCATTTTGTGTGTGTGTCAGTACTGTGGGCACATGTATTTCAGAGGAAGTAGAATGTCTTTGCGCTCAGTAAATGCACCACATGCAAGACTTTGAATCTACTGTTTTGAAATCAATAAAACATAATGAATGTTTGGAAGGAATCAGATTTTTCTGAGGTCATACTAAAGAAGCCTCAAGGTTGTCAAGCATTCAGGAGATTGAAAAGCAGCCATTTCTGATCACTGTTTGATGGCAGTTAGCTCATACACATCCCCACAATCTCACTACAAGGTTGCTGTCATTCTGTAGCTTATTTTTTGAACGAAGATCGCAGGAGTGCTAACAGTCGTATCAACCCTCGGCTACACTGTTTGTTCTGTCTATCCCTCTCTCTCTTCCTCGCACACGCCCTCTCTGATGTGTCCCTTTGATGTGGGTAGTTAATAGTTCTTTTCCTTCAGAAGTCCTAGATCGAGCTATTAGATCTGACAGCAAAGCCGGTCGGGACTGGTGTTACGCAGCCGGCCCATACATGGCTAGTTATGCTTTGGGTTCGGGCTGTGTTAATCATGCACAGTGCAGCATCAGAAAGAAAAAAAACAGCTTCATTAGTACTTATGTCTCTGTCTGATGCACTAAAGGTTGCTTGCTAGTGAACTGGACCTCCCTCAGAGCAAGGTCTGGCAAGGACACTGCATCTGATTCACTGTCATCTTTTTTTCCCCAAAAAATTCCACCTCCTATGAAAAAGGGCTTGTAGGAAATTTAAATGCAATTAATATCACTTGGTGTTCAGTTTTTCTGGACACATGACATGGCTGATATCAATGCGGACATTAAGTAATTTAAATAGACCACAAAATCAAACCCATACCTCTTTTCGGTCAGTTTTTAGAGCTGAATGTTGAATAACAAAACTTTCAAGTTACTTTCGCTACAAAATATGTAGTGAAACTGAAATTTGTCGAATACTGAAGCCTTGCAGCACATCAAGTCAAATTTGGATTTCTTGTTTCTCAGTTCCTGAAACGAATAGGTCTTGTTTTGGATGGAAAAAACAACTGAGATTTAGATGGGATTTCTTCAGAATAAAATTCTGAGACTTCAGCAGACTTTCGCTTTTGATGTTTTAGATAACAGATTCGAGAAGAATATATCAGTTGCAACTCATTAACACAAATGCTGTAGATAGCTTATCAAAAGGAGCACGCATATGTTCAAAAAAAGCACCTGACTTGGACCTTCAATTGCAATTGGACAGTGTGCCTCTGTAGTTGTAGGTCAACAAATGTGAGTCTTATTTCAGCTGTAGTATCCAAGTTGAATTTTCACTCCTCACAATCCGGAGCAACAAGCATGTGAAAAACTAGGGCGTGCCAAAGGTGATAGACACTTCATATATTCTGCTGCTCATCTCATTTCTGAGTTGAAGCTACATGTTGTGAACATTAAGTAGGCTGCCACTCATAATAGTATTTCTGCATTCTTAGTTAGCAAAAGGTGCAGATTGCAACTGAGTCCTTTGTGTGCACTAGTTATTAGCCATGCTCGAGGCATGGCCCTAAGGTTGGCAATGCTTGTCAGTCAGTCTGACTGAAAGATCTCAGCAGATGAGGGATAGATTGCTATGAGTATGACTATAGACATTTATTGTCTCCAGAGGATGAAGCCTGTTTATTTGCATGATCCTCAAAGTTTTCCTCTGGATCCCCCATGACTCGGGAGTGCAGCTGTAAGAAAACAGTTTCTTAAACTGCTGAGTAGATTGTAAGAAATTTCTGTACTAACATTCATGTTTCTCTCAGGATGGCTTGTAATAATGATTACTTGAGTTTTCATCTAGTGCCATCTAGTGGGGTTTAAATTACAGGAGGATCACCAAACTTGCTGAAAAAAACACTGGGTAATTGCAGTGGCACTTGTTACTGGAGTGTTTGATCAAAAATGATACCACACAGGTGCCCTGGATGAGATTAAAAAAAAATCACTAACCAGTGCAGGTAATGTTCATTTAGCCTCACATCCCATAGAGAAATTAATCCAGACTGAATGGGCTTCTAGCTGTGTTTTTAATTTTAATTTATAATGGTGAAAGTTTTAACAAATTAAACTGAATAAACAGACTGCTTAATTTAAAATTTAAATTTAAAATCTGACTTTGATACCCATCAAATAAAGGAATAAAGTAACAGCCAAAGGTGCTTGAACAGTGACCTGAAACCTCATTTCAGGAAGTGAGGTTTCAGGGTTAACAGACTCAGAGCTTTCACTAAACCTGCTATGTGAAATGGACCCCAGGTCGAAGCTGTCTCACCGTGCTGAGATTTAGGTTCCAAGTAGCAGAACTGGACCAGATATCACCATACAGAGATGCCGCTCCAGCCTCATTGTGCTCCCCGACGTCAAGTCTGTCAGCGCTCTGAGCAAGTTGCAGAGAGTACATCGCATAGGTGGATGCAGGGTTGTGGATGTTTTTTGCCTCATGCCTCATAAGGGCAGCAGCGTCCACCAGGGGATGTTCTGTGGATGTGTATAACAAGAAGCCTCAGGTGGCGGCAGACACGCGGGCCTTGGAAGATTCGCTGTTCTCAAAGGATATGATGGGCTGTTTGTGGCCCTGTAAGGGAGCATGCTTGTATTCGATTGAATTCGTTTTTTTAAAGTGTCATTGATGAGGTGTCTATCAATAGTAGATCTCACTACTGTTCAATTACCCAGGCCCAGACACTAGTATCAAAGAAATTCTGAGTTTGGGAGTGATATGCACTAAGAAAAATATCCATGTTATTAATTGAGAAGGACCTAATTATCCCTAGATAAAAAGCACACACAGTGAGATCACAATAGTCCAGCCTCATGCAAGGATACTGTTCTCTTTGTCCTTACATCTGCAAATGAAAGATAATGGGTAAAGCGCTGGTATTTATTGAGGATGTAGTTGATGATGTGTGCACTGGTACCGCGCCCAGGCTGCAGAAAGGGTTATCAGTTGTGCCACATTACAAGGTACTCTGAGAATGAGAGCAAGAGGTTTTGTGTTCTGTAATGAACAGGTATTAGACCCAGACTGTGTTGCTGTTGTACATCAGTCTGAAAAGATCTAGCTCTGTATTTTCCTGAGAGGAAAAGGTGCTTTTGAAGGTTTAAAATGAAAAGAGAGGCAGGCTGGGGAGGAGAAATAAAAGTGTCTGCTTGAAACAGAATAGAAAAGCAGATCCTACATTTAGCCCTGTTGGCTTCATTTATACTGACTGCCTCTTCATATCTGCTTCTTTTCTTACTCGTTTCTGCTTAATGATTGTATCTCTTTACTGCTGTGGAGGTCAGTTGATGGCATAAGCTATTTTTCCTTTATTTCCATGTTTAGGTAATGGTTAAAAAAAAAAAAAAGCAGCTTTAGCCTTTGCCTTAGAAACACTCTGTAAAACAAAAATTCTACCCAAGTCAGCAAGGCCATGTTTGGATTTGGGGCGATGATTCATGAGAGCAAGTTCTGTACCGGTGTGTCCTACTAAATGCCTTCAGCGGTGCATTCTTCTTGGACACAGGGATCATGACAGTTTGTGCCTCTGATCAGCTCTGTTGACGGACTGAGTGGGTCTACCTGACACCTGATTCTTTAGTGGCAGTGACTCTGCCAAGCACCAGCACTTTCACCGGGCAGTGGAGCAAATGTTGTGTCCTGCTGGCTGCTAGTAACAGGCAAGTAGATGAAGGGCCAGATACGCTGCCTGGTTCACACACCAGCAGACTGACACACTCACAGACCCTCTAGGTGGCTGCGACCTTGTGCAGGTTCGACTTTACTCCACACTTGAGCCACATAGTTTATTTGCTGGCAAGTTGTTGCCAGTAAATTTTCCATGTTTAAGGCTGTAATTTTGACTTGTTGTTTTGGTTCTCACACAAAACGTAGTAGATGATTCAGTTGTGAGCAACAGCCCTGCAATTAATTGTACCTTTATGAAGCTTATAGTGTTCAGTCGTTGACACTAGGGCTGGGCCAGTTGCTGCATTACTGCAGTAACATGATGCCTACCACAGAGATGAGCTCATTATAGTCATCACAGTTACTACTTCCAGTAATTCTTGTTCTCAGTCTTAACCATTTCACAGAAACTTTGCAAACTGAAACAGAATATTTAAATGATAATATAGTGTAAATCGCTGCAGTTTGTGGGGGTGTTAAAAAAAGAAAAAACAGCACTGAGAAAAAATAACAATTAATTTGCAACCCTAGCTGTCAGAATAATGTTGAGAGAAATGGACTTAAAATTTGTTAAATTTTACAGTTGCACTTACTGATGTTGTCAAGTTGGATTGTATTATGTATCTCTAATATTTTTCCGCTTTCAATAAAATGACATCTATTTTACTATAGGGCCTGACAGTCCACATCTGTAATTATCACAATGCACATTTCATACCAATAGTGAGCAAGAAGACATACTCCGTGGAGTCGCATTTACTCCTCAGCAAGGGAATGGCAGTAATGTTTTTAAGTAAACACAGAAAAGGTCAACACATCTTTTTTTTTTTTTCAAATATGAAACACGCTGGCTATTGATAGTGGTAGTTGTATTCACTGTTATGTACCACATAATAAAAAACATGTGTCAAACAAAAACAAATTCCTTAGACTCTCTAAAGTATATAACTGACAAACCTTTGACTTATAAAGTATTCGTGCTCTTGTCCTCTCACACACTATTGCTCACTTATATATATGATCAACACCATACAGTGAGCTCTCTATACCCTGTTCCAGCTAAATATTTCTGTTCTCAATATTTACTGTGGAGCAGTTAATTACCTTGGTGTGATATGTAGCCCAGTATTCGCTCAGTGTTTGGCTTCATTGATTTGGCTGTACTATTTGAGTAATGACAAGATATCTCAGGAAAGTGCAGTGTAAAAACAATGTACAGTAGCAATGAACAGGATAGAGTAGCCAGATAACAACATACAGTGGCTGGTAGTCAGTGATTGTAGAGCAGCATGTTTGTACTAAACTAAAGCAGACACTGGTCTTTTCAAGACATTGTCACATTAGCCATTTCTTTCAGCATCACCACCTCTCTTTGCATAATGAAACAACTGCCACTATGTCCTAATTCAGCTGCAGTGTCACAGCACCATTGGGGTATATGGATGAGCTGGCAAAGAACAACAGGAGGGCGTGAACATTAGAGAAATGCCATTAATAATATTTTCAACCTTTTAAGCCCAATTCTGTCACAGTAATTTGTTTTCCACTGGGAAATCCTCACCACCGTGAACATGTGGAAGATCCCCTTTATTCAGCTTATATAAGACTAATTCTGCTCTTTCCTTATGCAACAATCAGAATGGGGATGAGTCATTTTAAGCTATCATTCAAAGGGGAGAGTGAAATCGTCTGGCACTACTGTACATGTAACAATGTGACCTTGCCACTTTACTTGTGTACATTTATTTTAAGAGAGGAAGATGACAGGAAAGGCTTCTCTATATTTTCAGCTAGGTCACATATTTCACTGGCCTCTATGAGCTGGTTATGGATTTACAGTTTAGGCTATGCATGGAGCCATTAACGTCAAAGAGCAGTTTGTTGGAAAATGCATTAAAGTTGACAAACTGTTGATACTGTACGATTGCACTGAGATAAAGTACATCTTACAGCTTTTCAGTGTGTGTGTGAGACTGTGCGTGAGTGATCACTGGACTATATGAACAGTGGTCTGGCGGCTGCTAGAGCTGTGAACTGTACGTTATCACACTCTGTAGCCTGACAGTTCCTCTTCCAACATCACTTTTTGATCTATGACTCCTAACGTGGCTACTACTTTTTTTTTTTCATCTGTGAAATCTGTGTGTGTGTGTGTGTGGCATGAAAACATTTGCAAGTGGGACTGTGATGTGCTGTGGCACATCTGTGGAGGATATTAACCCGAGAGCAAGATTTCTTTGTTCCAAAATGCCAGTACCATAAAAGCATACTGACAGATAATGATGATGAAACAGCTGTGCAATAAACCCTCATGTTCTTGTCAGATACAGATCATGTCTTTTGTTTTTTACTGTTTGTTGTCTGTTTGGGTTTTTTAGTTTATGTGGCGTTGCCCTGCTTTAATTAGATTTTGTTTAGTTTCAGACGTTTGCATGACAGATCATGTGAGGTAAGTTATTCAGACAGTTATTGAACAAGCTGACACATATGTACACTTTTGGATGAAGTTATTCCTTTTTTCTGTGTCTGACCAGCACTCCAAAACCCAGTAATATTAAAGTTGTAATGAAGGTTAGTAGCAAAGAAGCTGCCTCCAGTAAATGTGTTTTTTGTTTTGTTTGTTTCGTTTAGTTTTTTAGTTAAATGACTTAAAAAATTTTAATTTATCAAACAATTAAAAAGAAAGATATATGCTAGTATGACTTTGTTGCCTAGTGGTTATGGCACCATGTAAAGGCAAAAATCAGAAACATTTATATCATCTTCGTTCTCTTTGGCTATTTTGGCTTTGGCTTTTCTCTCTGCCGTGAAAAGCTAAAAATGAATATATAATGATCTAGGGTGAAAAATAATTATTAACTTTAGCTTGCCCCTCCTATTTGTTCATCTGTGTTTGCTGTGATTTTTCTTTGTTAGACAAGTTGTTAGAGCAGTTCCAGGACAAGAGGCCTGATTAATATGACACAATAAATTGGCAAATAGCTCCACAAACATACAAAGCAACTTGAGCAGGGGGGCAACGAATAAACAACCTAGTTGACAAACATCAGTGACTAAATTAGCTGCAAACAAATGTATTTGCTTAGCAGTTGGGTGACCTC